CTACTAGACCGTGAGACCGTGATTTTTTTGGCGGTGGGGGGTGGGGGGGCGAGTAATTTTCGGGTGGAGTATACACCACTGATGTAAGTACAGATCATGCTTATATCTTACACATTTTTATAGCTTTATAGTGATATAAATTTAATAGACCCTGCAAGTCTATGTTTCTTCAAAAAAGATAACAATTACGATGTATATTCTCAGAAGTCTAAAATGCACGGAACTATAATTAGTATTGTATTGATATACAAATTGTAAATACTGTAGGAAGAAAGTATTATCATGCATGATAGGAAGGTAAAACGTTCCCAACGTCAACACAATGGGAGAGGTACGTAGTCCCGATTTGTCATGTGCACGTCGTGAAATCAGGTGTTGAAGATAATTTCGTACGTGCCGTCTTGATCCAAATTAGTGAAAAGTGCACAACGATAAATACGGTGAAAATGAGGCTAAATTGTCATAGAAGTAAAAAAACGCAAAAAGAAGAACAACATTAATAATAATAATAATAATAATAATAATAATAATAATAATAATAATAATAATAATAATAATAATAATAATAATAATAATAATAATAATAAATAATAATAGTAATAATAACAACAACAACAATACAACATACAAATTCAATAGTAAGAAAGATTGGTGGAACACAATAATATCCTATACAATATAAAACCAGTGAACATTATATAATTAAAACCTTAAAATAATACAGAAAATATAAGGCTAAACAATTTATGACATGAAAGTAAAAAACGGGAAAGAAAAAATTATAATAATAAATAAGACTTTAAAATAACGAATTCGTCATAGATATGTAATAAAACAAACCGGTGGAGCTTCAATCTTGGCATTCATTTGCTCCTTTGCCGTTTTGGTCTGTTGCCGTTTTGGTACTTATCATTGCCGTTTTGGTTTATTGCCGTTTTGGTCATTGCCGTTTTGGTTTTTTGCCGTTTTGTCCAGAACCCATGACCGGCCTTGCCGTGTATACGAAGAAAAAAAGGCCTCTCAACAACGTGCATAAAAGAAACATAAACAAAAATTGAAGTAAACAGTATGGTGGTGTGGTGATCTTAGATCTTCTTGTTGAGTATTTATTCGAACATTATTGAGTAACATAAAATAAATTGAAATTAGTATCTAACATCATGACGCATAACGAGGAAAGAGCACACTGGTTGAAAGAAGGAGCAATAGGATTAGGAGGTAAATAATAGTAATACACGCAATCTAGGCCTAGGCCCTAGAGGCTAGGGGTAGGCCTACCCAGGCCTCTTGTCTAGGGTGTTAGCCATATGGAGGCCTCTCTCTCTAGGCGAACTGGCTATGCCTACCAAGGACTCTACTATGTGTGCTAGGCTGTAGGCACTGAGTGGACTAAGCCTACTTACTACTGTATGGCCATAGAAGGCGATCATCCTTCTTGTTTGTGTTTGTTATGTTGAAAAATCCAATTCTCTCAATTCGCATGCATATGTATGGATGAAAGTACCGATGATGATGTGCATTGGCTTATCCTTTTGATTTTAGTGACTGGGTGTAGTAGAGAGGAATAGGCCTACTTTATTGATTTAAAAAACAAAAATTTCCATCATCTCCTCACGGTAGCGTGCATTTCCCCGATAGATGGGCCACCATTTCAGTGACGGCTGTAGGATATATTTTCTGGGGTTTTCAACTTTTGACAAATGTGATAACCATTTTGTTTTTGACAGTTGGTGTATTATATGGTGTAACCAGTGTGTGTGTTGGCCATCCATTTGATACTGTCAAGACAAAGATGCAGGCACAGTCCGGATACGAGAGTGGGGGGATGTACAAGACATTCTCAAAGACAATCCGAACACAGGGAATCATTGGCTTATATAGGTAGGCCTCTACATTTCATCAAGTCATGGCAGGAATTAAACATTGTGGATAATGATACTTAATATCAATTTATAAAAAATAAATCAAGATGCCAAGTTTAGCAATTAATGAAGGTGCTACCCCGCTGGGCACTCCCTGCGTCGTACGACCGTCACACGGTGAATCCGACTCTGCTAACTGTGAGTGTTAAAGGACAGGATATCGTCTGCTGATTGTCGGTTGCAGTCTGAATGAAACATTATTGAAAATTATGCTGTGTTGCTGTGGTGCTGTACTCACTATAGAATCGCGTCGGCTGATGATGATTAGTTTTAATGGAAAATACTATAAACTGCTATGTTGATTTAATAATTCAATATTCAATTCAATATTCAATTTATTCCGTCCATATAAATGGAAAATATATTGAGTACATTTCATTTACAATTATAAATTTTAAAATATATTAAAATTACAAAATAAGACATTAAAATACAACACCACATTCACAAACAACACTAATGCTCTGTGGGATAAAAAAGTGAAAAAAACAATAATACAGTAAAAAAGTCACCAGGGTCCAATTCCATTAAAATACCAAACAACATAAAATAGCATAAAAAATACATCAAAAGTTCCTAAAAATATTAAATAAAAATTTCTATACTGTACTGTGACTACTTTCCAACAAATCTGATGAAATTTACTGTATATAAATTATTGAATTCTAAATTTATTCATTATGTAATCTAATTGAATAAGGTACAAATGATTTGTTATATCTCTCAGTTCTACATTTAATAGATCTATACAGATTGTTTCTCTTAGAACGTAACTTGCAGTAGTTATTTTAGTACATGCCACTATTTTGGTTGTAATCTGTTAATGAAAGAATTAATAATTATGAGTACAACTGTAATACAGATGCAAAACTATATGAACAGACATAACTGTATTTGTTTTCATACACAAATATTGTAATAATCTCATCAACATTGTCATGTAATATATCTCATTTTATTACATTTACCTGTTAAAAGTATGGACATATCCAAGCTCAATGTCACTCATTCATAATCTATTTTATTATTTTTATTAGGGGTGCAATACCCCCACTTTGGGGCTCAGGAATCTACAGATCCACACAATTTGCAGTGTTTGAAGGAGTGTGAGTATCATAGATTAAAACACTGAATGATGTAATAACTATGAAGTGTAAGTGCTCAATATAACTACAGTATCTTGTTTGAACATTTGCTTGAGGTAAAGTAGACCAACATCCAATTGATGTCCAAAATTATTTCTATTAAGAAAATGATTGATTGATTGATCGATTCATTCATTCATTTCAGTTATTCCACTTATTCCATTCATTGTATTTATTATAATTATTTTCATTCCATTCCATTTCTTATTAAGTTCATTCCATCTAATATTCTATTAATTCCATTCATTATATCCATTTAATTCCATTCATCTCATTAATTAATGACATTCATTCAATTCATTTCATTTATTCCATTCAGTCTTATATTGGTCACTGTTAGAAGTATTTTGTATCTTTTCCATCATTCCTGATATGTAGTATATTATTTTTGTATTAAAACTCATCTGTTTTGTTAGCTACACCTATCTAGATACACCATGGGCCAAAAAAGAAATCCCTTTAACTGCTGGATTGCAGGTGTAAGTATTCACATTCAGTACTTAAGTTCTGCCCACACTATAACACTCGTGTAATGGCATGTCACACGGCCATCCCAAGGCAAAACAACGTAACTGACATTTTTGTCGATTTTGAGATAATATAATTTGGGAGTATATTAAACACTTCTGAATAACCTGTGAAAATTTCAGGTCTCATCAATGAGTCGTTTCAGAGATAGCATAACCTATCTTTAAGCACAAAACTTAAAATCCAATGATTTTCCATTTTAAAACAACGTAACTGCAAGATTAGGGGCAAAAAAACATATCTGTAGTAGTTTTGCTTTGGAATGGTATTCAAAAATTGTTTTCAGCTGATGGAGGTTGGCAAGGCAAAATCAACTGCTTAATGGTGTTTTCATATCAATAGTCTTAGCAGCGACGTATGAACAAGCTATATAATGCATGTGATTACCCCAAATGTGATAAATTCCAAATATATGTTGCACTTACAACAATACCGAGTCTGACATGTTTCCGCGGCAAAACAACATGTCTGTGAATTTTGCTAATAACTTTGCAATGAACAAACAGTTGTAATTAAAATTTCAAATATAATTACAATTAATCCTGCAAAATTTCACAAGCGTATGACAATTTATTACCATGTTGCAAACAAGCAAACTTTAACTCTATTCTTATCCAAAAGTGAAAATTTCAAGTTACATTGTTTTGCCACGGAACAATTTGATAATGTGGACAGAGTTTTATAGTCCTGTCCACAAATATGGGCATAGTACACCCAAATATGGGCATAGTACACCCAAATATGGGCATAGTACACCCAAATTTTGGCTTAGTACACCCAAATATGGGCATAGTACACCCAAATGTGGGCATAGTACACAAAAATATGGGCATAGTACACCCAAATATGGGCATAGTACACCCAAATATGGGCATAGTACACAAAAAATATGGGCATAGTACACCCAAATTTGGGCTTAGTACACCCAAATATGGGCATAGTACACCCAAATATGGGCATAGTACACCCATATATGGGCATATCACAGTTGTCACTTAAAATTGATAGGACAGAGCTTTATATGCAAATTTCATGCATATTATTTTGAAAGCGGATGAACTTATTCAGTCATGCGTTATTACGTTTCTATATATATGTGCAGTTTAAAAAATATATTGTTGTTATGCTTAGACGTGTATGCATAGCTGGAGCATTCGGGTCAACGGCAAGAGCAATTATTGAAACTCCCTTGGAGTTGGCAAAGGTGAGTCTTTGAATACTAACACCAACAAAGTAGATTGCAATTCACTCTTCAATTAGGGTGGAATAAATCAATACTAAAGATTTTCAACAAGAGTACTCAGACTTCTACTAAACCTTGGACATAACACAAATCATGGGACAAAATAGTTCTTTTTATTAATACATGGCATCCTGGATACTCCTAAGAATAAATGTGATGATGATATTGAGGACAATGGTTACCGGTATTTATATTTTTTTAACAAAACAATTTTGTTTTGACAGGTCCGAAGACAGACACAACAGACATGGGAGTTTAGAGGTCTTTATAAAGTAAGTAAAGCCAGGTTAAAAATTTGTGAAAAAATTCAACTTACACCCACTTGGAAGTTATAAGTAAAGAGCAATTAGTAAGTTGATTCAATATATTGTTTGCTTTAAGTGGACCAACTTAATATAACCATGGTAGGTGCTCCCTGTTGGGGAGCGGTATTTCATAAAGCATGAATGATTAAAATGTCGTCTCACTGCTATACTGCAACTTGATTTGTGAATTTCTTTTAGGGGTTTGGTGTAATGTGGTGTCGTACAATGGGGTTGATGTGTACTTACTTTATACTGATTGATTCTGGACGGCGACACTTTGGTGACCTGTTCAAGAGACCAATCCTTGGACCATTCCTGGCTTCTGGATGTGCTGCAACATATCCTTTCACTCTTTTAAGTTTTTTATTTTAATTAAGGCTGTTATAATACCAATATTACTATGGTCATTAATACTTATTAATTAGAATTATTAAATGCTTCAAGAGTATTTAGTAAACAGAGTAAACAGAAAGCCATGTTTTGACGATTACCATTCACAGCTTTTGAGGCATAACCAAATAAATACAGTACAGTAGCATCTTCTGACTAACAAAATTGATTGAAACACAAGTTTTCTCTTGCTTGAGCTACTGAGCTTCATCAGGTTTTTTTGTGAATTACATGATTTATATTATTTTCTGATACAAATTTAATTACATATACTCTTTGTATATTGGTACGCTAGCTCAGTTAAATTTTTATATTATTATTATTATTATTATTATTATTATATTATTATATTTGATGTAATCATTAATTTTTGTTATGCTTATTAATATTATTATTTTTATTATGATTATAACAGGAACTTTGTTTAATAAATTTGCTTAACTTTGTATACATTTGCCTGGTGGCTTGTTTGGCCCTTAGAATATATGAAGAACCAAGTGCAAGGGAATTACGGAAAGTGAGTAAAAACTCAGAAAAAAAAACCATTGAACATATAATAATATTAATAATAATAATGATAATAATAATAATAATAATAATAATAATAATGAAAATAATAATAATAATGATAATAATAATAATAATAATAATAATAATAATATTAATAATAATAATAATATTAATAATAATAATGATAATAATAATAATGATAATAATAATAATAATAATAATAATAATAATAATAATAATAATATACAAGATAATACTGTATGTAGTTATATAATAGAAAAATATTGTTTTACAGTTTATTGCCAAACATCAGTTATCAACACATTATCATTGGTGCATGGCAGTCACAGGCAAATTTTTTTAAAAGAGGGGTTTTGAAACATCATATTTCATCACCATAGTAATTTGTGCTTTTCCTCTGTCAAAAAAAGAAGCTGGCCCTAAATGTTTGAGATATATAGTTAGGCTTGGGCAGGACACTTCTATTTTGTCATGGCGCTATACAAATC